TTGTTGGAAAAATTTACTGGGGAAGATGGAAAACTCCAATTTTCACTTGTATCCAAATTAATTCATTTGTCCATATGCCAATTTTGCTTAGAAGTTCAACATACATTTTCCACAAATTTGCAGACAAGTAATCATCTCTCACATTAACATAGATAAAAAGTAAGTAAAAGAAACATGAATTGTAGTTAGTATATTCCAGAGTGATTAGGAATAGAATTTTTTCCACTATTCAGCTATTTTTGTATATGCATTAAAATAATTCATTCATTTCAGGGAAAGAATTATATGAAAATAATGACAACTCAGAGGCAAAATTTCCCATAACTCAGTGGGGAAAAAGTGACATAGAATTAATGTTTTGGTATAGAGATGATACTGGTAGAGAGATATCAAATAAAGACAGCACTTCTAAAAATTAAATCTGTGAGAACTTTTTCTTCAGCTCTTTTCAACACATGAGAAAATAGAAAATCTACTACACTGTGTTAGCACCTAGGTACTGCTATGAAAACTATGCTGGGAGTAGTTCTTATAAATGTAGAAATAATTAGCAACATGTTAATTTACCAGAATCAAAATGTTGTGCTTTCCGTTCTTCTTCATCTCCTTTATGAACTCTGGCAGACCAGCAAAATTCACTTTATCATAGGTGAAGTCCAGGCGACGTTCCATGTAGTCAATATCATAATGTTGGACATCCTAAACATTTTTCAAGTAAAAAATTACATTATTACTTCATCCAGCTTTGGAGTTCTCAGACAGGGAAGACATGGATCTGTTGCAGCAAGTCTAGAGGAGGGCCACAAAAATGATCAGAGGGGCTGCAGAACCTCTGCTATGAGGACAGGCTGAGACAGCCTGGAGAAGGGAAGGCTCCAGGGAGAACTCACCTAAGCCTTTAAATACCTAGAGGAGCTTATAAGAAAGTTGGAGTCAGACTTTTTTGTAGAGGCTGTAGCAATAGGACAAGGGGTGGTGGTTGCAAATTAAAGGAGGGTAGATTCAGACTAGATATAAGGAAGGAATTTTTTACAATGAGGTGGTTGCACAGGTAGATGGTGAATGCCCAGTCCCTAGAAACATTCAATATTAAGTTGGACGGGAATCTAAGCAACCTGATTTAGTTGAAGATGCTCCTGCTCATTGCAGGGGGGTTGGATTAGATGGCCTTTAATGGTGTCCTCCAACTCCAAGTATTCTATGAGTCTATAAGTGAAATATCTGATACAGAAATCAGAATGCATGCAATGGTATTTCTAAAAGGCAACTAATGTATGTAATGAAACCAAAGAGACTGTAATTGTAATCCTAGCACTGGACTACAAGAAAATGTAGAAGCCCTAGTTTAGCAACTATTTTGCAGTGATCTGCATCAGAAGTTTGTTTTCCATTATTTGTTTTTAAAATGCTAGCACCTCACACTGCGTAACAGCAAATCCACACCAAAATCACCTGCTAATGCAGCCAAGAGCAGCACTTAAACATCATGTTCACAGCCCACTTTAAATGTTCTTTTCAGCATTATGAAGATATTACATGCAAACCCACTACAGAAGATATGAATGTCCTTTCATTCTACAATTCCCTTTGTAAGATAATTACTTTTCCTCCACTATAATTGTATCACTTCAGAGTGCAAGGTTAGCACACACAGTGAGAGACTCATACTCACATATGGGATGTCATAGTGCTTCATGCGATCGACAGTTTCCTTCAGAACATCAAGGCTGTTGTAGCCCCAGCGGGAGAGCTGGAATCCCAGGGCCCAGTAGGCTGGCATGTGTGGGCGTCCAATGGCCTGCAGCAGCAGTGAGGAACACAGAAACACCAGGGTGAGAGGGAAAGAAGTTACTCTGAAACACCAGGAGAGGCTTCCAGATCACTGAAAGCGCAAAGGCCAGGGCAGAGGCATCACACCCCCATTAAAAACCCATTCCTTTCTCTGAGTGGCTCTTGGCACAACATGCTTGGCACTTGTCCTGGTGGATCCTTGCCCTTCACAGAGACTCCAGCAACACCAGCACTGAGCATCACTTCCAAGGACACCCCAGTGGAGGACACAGTGTATAAAAGCCAGGCTAATGTCAAACGTGGTCTCAGCCTCTGCACAGCAGAATGTGTCCTCACTTACAGGGCACATGCCAGCAGAAATCCAGTGTGGAGCCTCATGCCACCTGATCCACAACAAGTCCACAAACTCCTTGGTCAACAGAATCTCCAACCACACACAGCAACATAAGCTTTGCAAACTTCTCTTGCCATCCAGCTGAACTAACTTATCAAGAGTCTGATCTTTATTGGAGCTCTCTGAAGTTTTAATCATATTTACACACCAATCTGATGAAACTCAGTTACTTATGGCTGACTACTGTTATTGCTGGCCCACATCCTTGTGTTGCCAGGCACTGACAACCCTCTTCAAGGCCAGACTTACTGTTTGGTCCTGAAATTCTCAACTGAAACACAAGGTAATGAGTTAAATATGATTTATAAATATTTGATTTCCACTGCCTGAATGTAATCCATCTGTAAATGGCATCAGGAAACTCAATTGAGAGCACAGGGAAGCAAGGCATCCTGCTCTGCTTCCCCCGGTGAGCGCTGCTGTGGTAACCTGGGATGAGCAGTGGGCAATTACAAGGTGTCTGTTGCACAAATAAGCTGAAGTCTGGCTTTGTCTCATTAGTACACACCAGTGTTTTCTGGGGCACATCTCCTGAAATCCTTACTTCAGTTAAATCCAATGAAACTAACCTTTGATTTGTATTTCTAACACCTTTGCAGGCAATACATGAAAATCTAGTAGCTAGTAAGCAGTCATGACTTATTAATCAGCTGCAGCTATTGTCCCCCTTTGGCTAAATAATGGCTCCTCCCTTATTTCCTTGTGGATCTCCATAGTTAAGTAATTATGCTGAAAAGTGAAAACCAACAAAACTTGCATATTGGCAGCTAAACCCCATCTACTTCAAATAAATAAAACAAGGCACTTCTGGCAGTCTGTATCTGTTGCATTGCTAAGCTCTCTGGAGAGGCATTGCATGAAGGTACACCTTCCTATGGGATTTTCTCTAGGAAGTATGACCTGGGAAAGCAAGGCTGAGCTTGAAATTGCTCTAAAATACATCACAAGCTAGAGCATCAGTACACAGATGAACAAAGTGCATCAGACAGAAAACCACATGTGGGAGAGAGGCAGAGAAAAGCTGAGGATGCTTTTAATGCCCCTGAGCTGGCAAACACACAGGGTAAATTGCTTCCAAACAAGAAATGCTTGGGAACACACAGCCAAACATTACAAATTTGGCTACAGTATTCTTTCACTGGTTGGGGTGCTGCTGTTTCACATAAGCAGAAACATAAGGAGGCCATAACCAGTGGTGAGGTTAATGCTTTGGGTGTCTCCAGGAGGGACACCAGCTGATCAGCACAGTTGCCCCATACCCCTGCCGCTTGTCCTGTCCCACCTGACTTAACTTTCCTAATCCTCCTCAACACTTCTTCTCCTCCAATTCAGCTGGGGCTGGGGTATTCAGGAGAAGTGAGAGCAGCTCTCAGCAGTGTGCTCCTGCACAGAGGCACTCAGCCTCCACTGCACACTGCTGTGCCCTCACCAGGGCAGGCCCTGAACAGGCAAAGGTGGTGCTACCATGGAGGGGGAGGCCAATGGGCAGACATGTCATAACTACCCTGGAGCTGTCCCATCTCCTTGCACATGTCACCAGGTTTTTTTCTGGACACGTCTGATCACCCAGACCACCTTCCAAGCTCTGCTGGGGCTTTCCATGGAGAGCTGAATGGGGTGGGATGGCTCAGGACAATCTCCCAGACACCTTGTGAGCCAGCACCCAGTTGTCCAACACAGCATGGCAAACCTCAGAGCAAGAGGTCTTCTTCTTGGCACATCCACACTCATCATGTTAAGGATAAATTCATCTGAGAAGGCAGCACAGAGCTTGTTTTAGATCAGAAAAGGCTGCAGGATGAGCTTTGTGAACCCACCATTTTGTGCTCCTAAAGCAGATGCATATTTTGCCCTTGCTTTCTCTACTGGAAGCAGAGAATGACCTCTACAAACAAGGTTAAAAAAACAGACCAAAACAAAAGAACTCCCTAATGAAATAAAATGCTTTGTGCACAGGCTTCTCATCTTGGACAAGAGAAATAGGGAAAACTGGTTGATAAATATTAATCCTGCAGCTCAATGCAGAGCCCTGTACCCTGGCAGGATGTCTGCATGGCATCTGCTGCCTCTTCCCAAGCAGGCTGGGCAATGGGAGAGGGGGAACCAGCCTGGGCAGAGGCAGTGGGACCTGCTGAGCAGCTCTGCCCTGGGTCCTGTGACACCCCAGGTCACTCCTGCCTGGGGAGGACAGCCTGGGACATTGCCAATGCATTTCATGAGTTGGATGGGGATTGTCTTCTTCCCCATGTCCTATCAAGCATGCAGGTGGAGAGCAGGGGGGCTGGAGGTGGAGCTGTGGCCACTGGTGTGTCACAGCCTTTCCAAAACGGCATGTCCCCAGCACTGGGGTTTGCTGGGGTTCACCTGCTCACCCCTGTGGGATGGTGCTGTGTCATTCTGGACCACAGAGTGACACAGTGCTTTGTGACAGCATCCCTTGACAAGTTTGGCATTACCGCTGAACCAACAGAATAATATCCACCTTGCAAGGAAGATATTAAGCTTTTAAAGCAATTAGTTCTCTAGGTTCACCAGGCTGGTGCATCTATGGTGAGCTTAATTGAAACCAGCAGAACATTTGAAGAGGAAGGATGAAAACAGGGCAGCTGGGAAAACAAATGTTCTTTTTTCTAATTATGCTGTGGACTCTTTCTAATGGATCCCCCTGAAGCTTCCTGATAAAGTAACTGACATATGGTACCCACTCACAGATGGATCAGCAGAGGCAGGAATGTAATTTTGCAAACCTGAAGACTCAAGTTGGATTTGATATATATTTAGGATCTACTTAATTCATACAGATTGCATTCTGCATACAAATGATCAGAAAGTGCAGCAGCCAGAGAAAGCCTGCTTGGAAAAACTGAAACCCATAGAATCAGAAAAGGTAGATTGGGTATGGCAGGGGAACTGAGGGAGGAAAACATACAAACAGCAAACATATGGAGTATCCAAAATGAAGGGGGGAAAAAGCACAAAGATATGGTAGTGCAGAACCAGTAAAAACAAAATATCTTATTTTCTGTTCCAGAATTCTTCCTGCACTTGCTTCTTAAATAACTCCTGGTGTTTAATAAATTCACTGTTAGTTTTTGCATGTTTACATAATTTAGTATTATGTGTATTTTTTTCCACTTTTTTCAGAGACACCTGAGAGCTGATGTATTGAGGAGGTACCCTGGAAGCATTTTGTGGTAAGAATGAAGTTCAGTGGTACAAGTATATCTAACAGATAAAATCTGTGTCAAGGGAGCAGGTGATCTGTACTCATTTTCCCTGTGCTGGATAATTGGAGAAATAATGTTATTAATATAAGCATTAATGATATGTACTAGGTTATAAATTCTATAGAGTAAATCAGGATCCTATTCTGTTAACAGTATGACCAAAGACTTTGATGAGAGAGAGAGAGAGCTGCAGAGTTGTGCCTGTATATCACAGAGGCTGGAGAGAGGCTCTCTTTCCTGTGCTCACAAAGGAGCTGAGATGTCCTGCAATGCAGATTGCTAATCTTACATCCTAATTAGCCACACAAAATGATTTCTGAAGCTTGATATTTGCTTCAACTCCCTTTCTTCAAAGAGGAGTTATAGGAGGAAACTGTAAAACCCGAGTGGGCTAATGCACTGGGTTTAGCATTTCTGTATGGCTAAATTCACAATGGCTAAATCCCACAGGTGCTCCCATGGCCCACATATCTGTATCCAGCTCATCTGCTATGACTAAGGCAAGCAGCTGAGTGCTGTGGGCACCCAGTCAGTTAGAGGGCAACCTTCACTCAAAGTCTGTTAACAGAAGCTAAGCTTTGATTTAGGAGAGCAAAAAGAAAGGCCCTGCAGCTGCTGAAGCATAAAGAAGATGCTCACAACCTCAGGAATATAAACAATTTAAGGATTTTCAATGCCAAGGTCTTCAAATATTGGGGTTTTTTTCTGCACAAAACAATTATCAGTTGTTTATTCCATCTTGGGGAATTCAGCTCCAAGATACTCACTGAATCATCTGTGATAAGATCTATGCACAAGCAGGTTCCCCATGTTACCTCTCCAACAGGAGAGTGGACTAGACATCTCTGAGGTCCCTTACACCTGTAACTAGCCCACACTTCTGTAAGAAGGAAGCAAACAAGCAATTTTCTCTCCAAAGAGAACCAGGAGACTTACAGTATGCTCACTTACAGCTTGTTATTGGATATTTTGGGATAACAAATTCATGGCCTTTACTCAAGAGCTATTAAATATCTGTTTTTTGAACCCTGACATTCCTGAGCATCTTGTTATGGAGCTCACACACTACTGCTGTGCACTGTTGGTCTGCTCTGAAAGGCCATCCAGTGGCCTTGTCAATGTTGGCCTGGTATTAGGTGGGACTGCAGAGCCTCAGCCAGGCTCAGGTCAGTGCCTGGACTCTTTAGCTTGTTACTGCTTTTTCTCACCCTCCTGCAAATGGAGGTGTTTGCCATTAAAAGTGAGATTCGTGTTACATAACTGTTCTGCACACCAGACCTCTTCTGCAGCAGGAGAAAAATGTGATCACTGTCATAGAGAGAGAGCTGTACAGGACAATGTCAGATGTGGCAGGAGTAACACCCCACCCAGCTGGGCTCAGGGACAGAGGGGGCAGAAGAACTGAGCTGGAGGCTGCTCCTTGCCATGGGACCATGCCCAGCACAGACCCCACAGCTGCTGCCACTGCTGCAGCACTCAGTGCCAGTGGCAGGACGCATCCTACAGCTCAGCTCTGCTCCCTGCAGCACACACAGCAGAGGGACAGAGGTACCAGCACTCACCCTCTGCTCCCTGCTCACACCTTGCCTCACTCTTGGAGCCCATTTAAAGCAGATTATCCTTGGCCAGGCTGGCATCCAGGGCCACCACAGCTTTTGCTGCTACCTGTCCTCACTCCAAGGATGCAGAGAAGCTGGTGACTCTGGCAGAGCAGCTCCAATCAACCCTGATCACCACACAGAGAGCCAAGAGCCCTGCTCTTGGCATAGCCTGGACCCAGCAGCTCTGGCCAAGTCTGTGGTCACCCTGGGTGCTGGTGACAACCTGGAGAGGTGTGTGGGCAAACTTTGCATGCTCCAGAGGCCAAATAAAGAGCTTTGTTACAAAGCTGTCCTAACTCACTGGTTTGAGGGAGCCACATGAAAGCCCAGAGCAGAGCTAAGCTCCTAAACCTCTCACAGAAACAAGCATAGCAGGGGCAGAGAGGAGGCTCAGACACTGAAGTGGCACTGAAGGCAATGGCACAAAACACTTGAGAAAGGTGTAAGACACTTTTCTCTGGAAACATCTCCCTTGTTCTCACCAGCTGTGCACCTGCTGGCATCTGGCCACCCTGCCACACCAGTGGGGCCATCCCAGAGAGAAAAACTGAGGGGTCTCTGCAAAAAGCAGTGGCTGGGGCAGACTTGCTTAGGAGGGAGGCAGGTGCTGGTCCACAGAGAAGCTCTGCAGCAGTGCAGCCTGGTCCCTCCAGGGACCCCAGCAGCCAGGAGCTCCCAAAACACCAATTCACAGAGGAGACCCATGCAAACAGCTCAGAGAGCCGAGCCATGCTGCTGAGCAGCGCCTTGCAGACATCAGTCACACTTCTCCTTTCTACCCCTTCTCTTTCCCTACAGCATGGCAATGACTGCACAGGGAAAATCCTCTCAGTGTGACAGAAAAGACAATTGAAAAATAAAGTCTTTTCTGTCTCCTTCACCTTCCCACATATCTTGTACATAAAAGCCAAATTATTACCCTAGAGACTAATAATATGGTAATTGTAACATTTTTGACCTTGGAATTTCAGGATGTTTACTGAAGAAGTTATTATTTCACATTGAAATTACTAACATGCATTCTTTAAGATTCCCTAGAGAGTTGAGCACAAGCTCAGAGAATACAGAACAGGATTTTTTTGTCCTGGCATGTGACATGTCTCATTAGGAGACGCCCACTGCTCTCCTTTACCCTGTTTTCTTTGCTCCAGCTCCATTTCCAGAGACAGGGGTGGAAAGTGAGCTGCCACTACCCATCAGCTGAAGAGTGAGAACCCTCTCATTTTATTTTCAGATGCTGACCACCTGCTAAGCCACAGAAATGCTGCCTTCAAACACCAGTAAAAGACTTTGAAAAGGAACAGGCGTGGCTCTAATTTCCATCGTACTGCTGCACTAACTCCCTTGAAATGGGGATCAAAGCTCCAGCCTGGGGGAGAGTTGCTTTACTTTTTCCCCCCTTTTCCCACCCTGGTTTTATTACCCACGTGTAAGTTAAAACCCCAGCTTGCTTGCTGGTCTGTGGCAGTGGCATCAGAGATAGTGTGTTCTGGTTTGGGCTGGGATATAGTTAATTTTCTTTATAGTAACTGCAATGGGCTGTGTTTTGGATTTGTGCTGAAAATAGTGATGATAATTCAGGGATATATTTGATTTTGCTGAGCAGTGCTTGCACAGAGTCAAGGCCTTCTCTGCCCCTCACTCCACACCACCAGTGAGGAGGCTGGGGGTACACAAGGAATTGGGAGGGGACACAGCCAGGACAGCTGAGCCCAGCTGACCCAAGGGATGTTCCATATCAAATGCCTTCATACTCAGCACATAAATCTGGGGGAAGAGGAAGGGGGAGCTGGATATTCAGAGTGATGGCATTTGTCTTTCCCAGTAACAGTCACATGTTCAGCCATTCCCCCGATACCTGGGGGTGTCTCAACACCCTCCTGCTGGGAACTGGTGAATGAATTCTTTGTTTTGCTTTGCTTGTGTGCACAGTTTTGCTTTACCCATTAAACTGCCTTTATCTCAACCCACGAATTTTCTCACTTTTACCCTTTGGATTCTCTCCCCCACCCCACTGGGGGGGCGTGAGTGAGTGGCTGTGTGGGGCTGAGCTGCCAGCTGGGGTTAAATCATGACAGACAAAGGGAGGGGATGATGTGCAGAGGGAGCTGGAAACCTCCAAGCAACAGAGCAGTTGCTGCTTCTCCAGGACATGGAGGAGCACCACCAGCCTCCCACCTCTCTGGGAGATAGCATCTGAACCTCTCCTTGGAAAAGGAAGGTCTAGCAGAGCTTACCACCCCAGAGAAGCTCCAGCCTTCCCAAAACAGCAGCATGAGCAAGTCTTATCCCTTCCTCCACCAAACCAGAACCCAGAAATGCCTTCCTTCTAGGTTAAATCCTCTTTTTCCCTTGCTCTAAACCACAGTATTTCTGTTCCCATATAGGCACTTTGAAAGAAGGCAAGCATAGGATATGGAGACTTTAAAAAGACAAGAAAGACAAAATGTTTGCTAGAGATCAGAGCTCAGGCGCCTTTGAGGGGTGGCACAGGAAAAGGCAGAGCACACGCACATCTTGCTGTGAGCTCTGAGTGCCTGGCTCTGGGATGCCCTACCCTGGTCAGCCTTCCTCAGGGAAGGCTAATTGCAGCCTAACCCTCAGGGTCTGCACAGTGACCTCCCCTTCTCACAGTAACATGCTTGCTCCAGCTTTGCCCCACACTCTTTAGTTTTGACACTGATTTTTTACATACAAAGTTTGCATCTGAGGTGACAATTTTCTGTAGAAAGGCCCAGTTGAAGCTTCATTTGGTGTCCAGGAAAAAACATATTATCTGCCACTTTTTTCTGCACAGTCCTCACTAAATAAGAATTGCATGTACACTTCCAAATCAGCCATTGGCATGTGTACTCTCAGTCCTCTGGAAAACATTGGGCAATTGGATAGCAAGTAGTTACACTCTGTGAGACAGCAGTAAATGCAGTGTTATACATCCATGCTCTCCAATGCAATTATATAGGTTTTCATTAGTGAAAACCAGCCTGATGGCTCCAAAATCAGCAAGCAATTCCACTGGCAAATAAAGGCTTGAAGACTTCAAAGTCCATTCAATATCTCTGAAATCCAGCATATGTAAAGTTCCCAAACATTCCCATCTGTGCTATGCCTAGTTTGTTTTCTTGGCCTGCAGCATCAAAATGCAGTCATGTCATACAGCAAAGACTGTAAAACTGTGACAGCCCAGAGAGGAGTAAGCTTAGACAGATATCTCTCTAATCATTGCATCCCTTTAGTGCATCCCATCCTGACACATTGCAGGAGAGGAGAGTGTGCACTGAACAGCCAGCCTGCCTGTGACACTCAGACTGCTCACAGATGCTCGAGCACACGCCAGCTTTCCCTTGGATCTGAAGCTGCAGCTTTGTACAAATGGATCAGGACAAAGCTCTGCCTGCACTACCCACTGATACCAGCAGATACTGACAGGACTGTGTTACAAGGCACTGCTCCATGTGCCATGAGCACTTTTCCACTGACCTCAGTGTACTGCTGAACCACATTCTCAGGAGTTGGTCCCATGAAGAGATAGAAGTCGAGGATCCCTCCAATAGTGCGGAAAGTCAAAGATGGGTTTGGAGACAGAGTAACATCTAAAAGGGAAAAAAAGGCCCTCAGCACAAACCAACTCTGCACTATACATGGGAATAGGTCAAGAATGCATCAGGGGAGGTTGAGACTCAGCATTAGGAGGCATTTCTTTACTGAGGGTGGGCAAATGCTGGAACAGGCTTCCTAGAGATGTCGTTGATGCCTTGAGCCTGTCAGTGTATAAGATCATTTAGACAATGCCTTAACAACATGTTTAGCTTTTGGTCAGCCTTGAAGTGTTCAGGCAGTTGTACTACAAGTATGTTTTATGTCCATTCCAACAGAAATATTCTATCCTATCCTATCCTATTCATCCTAGCTGTGTGCACCCTGGGCACTTCTGTGCACCCTGTGGGTACGACTGGATGAGCAAACAGAGCCTGAAGGTAGGCAGGCCCAGTGTTTCTGCAATCTCTGCTTTCAGATTGGCATGATGCAGCAATAAATCACAGAAACCCACACAGAGTAGATTGCATAGATCCATTTGTCTCCGTTTCATATTTATACAAAGGATCAACAAGTTTGTGTTTAGGGTTCCTCTATGCTATTTTAATCTTATTGAAAGCCATTGTCTGCCAGGGGAAACTGATTTTATAGACTAAGTGAAGATTCTCCTTTTCTGAAATTATACTACTACATTAATGCAGTAAGGTGACCATGGCAACACACAAAACTATTCTCCAAAGACAGAATATAGGATTAACCTAAACAGATTTGATTTTGTTATGCCAATCTCAGAGGAAATTTCTTCCAACTTCTTCTTTCCCTCTATTTGCATATATTTTCATTAAAAAGTTAAGAATGTATTTTCTCTGAAAATGCCTAAAAATGTCCAAATTCCTTGTTAAAAATTCATTCTACTGAAATCCATTTGAAAAATCTTTGAAAAAATCTATTCGTCCTGGAAGCTTAGTTAGCCACACAGTCACTTATGTTTGTATCACATTAAAAAGCAGTCAGTAAAACAGTATTTTATATTTACTAATCTATCATATTTCTATATGCAGTCCATCTAGGGAATCCCTATATCTTTTTACCTTGTGCATTGGAGTTCAGAAGGAGAACACCGTGGGCATTGGCGTCTGGTTCTACGCACATGTAGAAAGGGTGAACTCCATAGAGGTTGGCAAATGCCTGAAACATAAAGAGCACATGAAGTATCACTTGATTTTGGTATTTTTCATAGCTTTTGTCAGGTAGATACACATACACAGACAAGGAAATAAATTCATTCATAGTTAGAGACTTATTTTGAAAGGCTGGGTTTTTTCATCTAAATTGGTGCGAAGTCAAATTGACTGAAAAGTTTTTGGTTTTTTTTCTGCCTTATCACAATGGAATTTTTTAGTCTTTCCCGTTTAAACCTTTCATACTCTGCTAAATCCTTCAAAATGGCATGAGTAAGAATCACTTTTCTAGTTAAAACAGACTCAGCCACTGACTCCAGTTCAGCCAAATATCTGATGAGCCCTGCTGGAGTCCAGCTTGTTTGGATGAACAAGGATTGATCCAAGCATGAAATGCAAAGCTCTCCTGAACCAGGATCTTGGCACCCAATATACTTTTTCCTGAAAACTGCACTGTGAGAAAGTATCTGATAAAAGGTTTCAAAGTTCCCTCAAAACATTCATGGCTTTGTCTTTAATTAAAACTGATGATACCCACGAAGCTTGTGACATTCCATGTTTGCCACCTCCTTTTGGTGACACAAGCTAGGACAAAGTGTTGCACAGTGAATTACCGTTGGTGCCTGGTCCCTGGCGTACATGCCATAGGTAACAAAGTCCATGTTGTGCTTGAAGGTCGGGTGCTCATGTTCACCAAAGCCATACACAGAAGTGGATGGCACAGCGGTGGTGATCTCAAGGAACTGGTTGGAGAAAAACAGATCAACCAGGGGACTGTCCCACCTGTGACAAACAGAGACAGACAGAATTAGTTTGTTTCTCTTTGGAAAGTACTATTCTAAGTTCATGTCTGGCTATTTATACTTTTTATGTATTTTGGAGAATAACAGTATTAAAAATTCATTAAATTCTATGCATGTGTCTAAAGTGCTTAACCTAACACATTAAATTCATCTTGCAATGGTTGAAGATATCTCATCTACTTATGCAAAAAGAATGCATCAATATAATTTTTGAAAAGAGCAACTAAAACAACAGAAGACAGACTATAAATCTATTATCAAAATAAGTGGTTGCTTATGCTATTTCTATGACAACCAACGTGAAAGGCCAAAAATTGTTATTACACAGTGGAGTTCAGAATACTTAATGAGAACAACAGACATTTTATCAGCTTTTTTTTAATGTTTTGCTGTATCAGGACCCAAATGCCTCCAACTTCATGCAGGTGCCTAAAATAGAGGTATACTTTTCTCTAGACTCTGTTTGAACAAGATGTTTTTATTGTGATGACTCTCCTGCTTCTCTCACCAGCTTAATGCATTTATTTCTATTGAATCATCTGTGGACACAGGCTCACATTTTAATTAGGTGCTACATTCTGTTTCCTATCTCTAAAGCTATAATGAGCTGCAAGTTAGATGGGGGATAACATAGTCAAGCTGTGGAGAAGTGTTTTGTTAATGGTCATGTGTATGCCATGAGTAGCTCATTTAGACAGCACCCTCTCGAGCCTTGTTTAACCATGAATTTGTTACAGCTAATTAAAATAAATGAGCCCAAGCCATAGAGCACAGAAGTGGCATAACTCTCCTTTTAATGTTCTTCTGTCAATGATTTTGACAAAATTAAATGGTTGATCAAATTGACTGGTAAATCAGAGAAATGGGAGACGGGCTGTGTTGGTGGCAGCAGCTCTACCCTCATGAGGACAGCACTCTGGTGAGTGGCCTGCCCCCTGTGCCACCAGCACCCCTTCCTGGGGACAAGTCCCTGCTGCTGGGAGGGATTTAGGGGGCACCACTGCTCCCTCCACACTGGCAGGCTCTCCCCTCGAGGCTGCAAGCACAGCTGCTCATGGATAGGCTCTACCTTGCCTCTCCATGCAAAACTCAGGCACAAATTATCCCTA